TATGCCGAATTTACTTGGTTGAAATTTTAAAAGGATCGGATTCGATATTTATCAAAACAACATTGCCTTTATTTTGCAGATGTTATTTGTCATAATGCATGAAGAATTCGCTTTAAAGACTATACATTTAATTCAGCAAACAGATATTAGACACATAGACTATTTGAACATGGTACCTAGCATGTACAGGAAAAAGTCAATTAGACAAGGTATGTATAGATATATTAGGAAATACATTTTTCTTAAAAAAATAATCTTATTTCTTGCAACTCATTTTAGAAACGTCGTTGTTACAAGACAAACAACCTCCTTCTACGGTACCTTCATTAGAACCCTCATTAGAACTCTCATCCAGAATATCCTTTGCCGTATAATTATATACAATAGCCGGAAAATTGTATATAATTGTTGCTGCTAGCTATTCGTTGCAATATAAGGATCTGCGATCCTTCTGAACACTGCCAGAAATTTGTCTCCTTCGTTTCTGGTGACTTTCTTACCTTCCTCAGTGCTTTCATATAATTTTTCCACTACAGGATCCGCTGCCTGTCTCGGTAAAATTTATCAGTGTTACTATTATTATATTAAAGAAAAAAGAAATAAAAACAGTTGTACTTACCAAATCCTGCTTGGTAACTTCTTCAAACAGTGAATGTTCTTGGAAATGTTGAAGTATCCATTTATGTAGATCTTCTACGTCCGTTACAGTATATACAATAGCCTATGTAATAATAATTTAAAAAATGAATTCTTGTAAGAAGTAATATAGCAACAAGTATTATAGCCGATATTCATAAGCTGTTCTTATGTTTAAGATTGATTTTAAGTATGATCTTAGAATGTCATAAACCAATCTCAGAATCATACATATCATCTTAAGACAATACTTAAGATGACCTTAAAATAAGAATGATTATGAATACTAGACTATGAATAGTCTATAATAAATTTAAATAGAAATAATATAAAGTATAAATGATACTTACTCCCTCGGCTAAAACATAAGCATATTCTGCCAGCAGAGATTTATTTATTATTCTCCATTTATGCTTTGACTTCTTGAAGTGCGGATCTGGATATAGGAAAAACATCTTCTTTAGCTACACAAATAAAAAAATATAGATTAATATGTAAACTATTCTATCCTTTAATGTACATCAACAATTCCTTCTATTTACTTGTCCTTTATAGAAATAATTTGGCAGGTACTTCATAGCATTTGTTCTTAAACAAGCAATGTTCTGGTACTGGCCAGGATTTTGTGATCGTAAAGCAGCAATGCGATCCATAACGTAGTCTGATACTTTCACTCTGATTTCCATGCCGAGTATCAAATTATCCGGAAACATTGGTGACAGAGTAACTGAGAATTAATTTATCAATTATTTTGATTTTCTGGTTTTTACATTCTTTTATAAATTGTCTGATAGGAATTAAAACAGTAATCATTCTGCCGCCTCACAATTTATGTATACATTTTTTTCATTTCCATGTAACATTCATATAAATCTTGTTTGTAATAAATTAAATTAAATATTAAAAAAAAAAGAAGGAACAAATTACCCAACAATCCTCCATAGCCACAACCAACATCTGCAAATTCTACACATTTCTGTGTTTCTAGTGTCTGCTCATCATTACTCTGAAAATACTGTGGATATAAGATACTCCAATCCATTAACTCCGGTTTTATCGGACTGCAATGAATAAATGGCAAACAATAATGGTAATTGTTGTAATCTTATAATTATAATTAGTTATCAATTGTTATAACGAAAAATGTATAGAAAACTACTCACTACTCGATGCAGTGATCGGCTATTGGATTCGAATGCGCACGTTGTCTATAATATTTCTTTTGCGGTAATGCCAGCGTCGTCATGATTACACTAAATATTTTTAGTCGAAGGAACACTAAAAGTCTGCAAAACGTATTACTCTTCCTTTATCAACGCAAAACATGAATATATTTTAAAAGGTTATATCCAGCTAATAACACACATCCCTTTTAATCACTACATCTTGTTCCAGCGCTCCAAAGAAATTATATTCTTCAGAAATAAAGAAAAACAGAGTACAATTAAAAAAGACAGATTTTTTTTTTAATAAATTTTTTTTTAGAATAAAACGAGAATGCAAGAAAAAATGAACACAGAAAGTATGGCTTAATTAAAAGCGCTCAACAATGAATCTGTTATCCTTGTGTGTTATCCATGTCACGAGTTGCTAATAACGATAGTTTAAATATGGATCTATTTGTGTATTTTCCAAATCTGTAGTATTTGTATATACATTTGTTACATACACGTGTATATATTTGAAGTGCAGAGAAAATGCGGCGCACGTGCGCGGAACGATCAGCTGATCGAGCGCGCCACCTGTGCCGCCTGGCGGACGACAGCGGCACTAATGCGTAACGCGGCGTGAAAGAAAGACAATAGACATGTCTTTGCGCACGGTGTGAGATTCTCTCTTTTGTTATATTGCGGATGCATCGTCATCGTCTTCCTCCGTCGCCGCCGCGCGGCCTTGCAACGTGTCAGTGAAACATGTAATCGCGGGCGGGAATCGTGGCTCACTTATGTAACGCACGACGCGGGTCGACGCCGGTTTTGGAGAGCGGTGGACTCCTTAGGGGAATCCCTCTGCCCAGGTGAGGTTAGGATCTCGGAACTCCGTTCCTGTGATTGCTTCTTTGTGTCTCGTCTCTCCTGAGAACCGCGATGAATCAAGATATATACTCGCATACTTACGTCATCCTACGCGGACGCATCTTTGTTCGTTACGAACGTTTTGTGTATTCAGATAAGAAAATGAGTTGGAAATGACTGCGTCGTGACAGGAAATCGTCTGTCATCAGGAATCTGTCTCTCTGATGTCAAGTGTCATCATTTTTTAGAAATGAACGTATCAAATCAAATTGTTACGCTATTCATGATTCATGTCATTGAATTATTTAATTATACTTATCTAAAGATTAGATTTAAGTAAATGGCTAATTATTTCATCACTAAGCGTAAATTCTTTTTGAAATTGTGAAAGGAACAGAAGGGAAAGAGGAGCACAAAGAGAGAGAGAGAGAGAGAGAGAGAGAGAGAGAGAGAGAGATTATTCTGAGCATTCATTCTGAGAATATAATGAAATCTGTAAATTAGATTTATCCTAATATCTACACTGAAAGAAGACTACTAAATAATAAATATTTAATAGTGCCAATTGAATATTTACTAACCGTAAACATATATATTTATCTTTGGTACAAGCACCATTAATTTGACTCAACTCTTATATTTTTTATTTAATAAATATTTATTTTCTGTAAATAAATGTTACCTATACAGCATAGATAATTTCAGTAATATTGCAGCAATATTGCAACGTTCCAGAAATATTGTAATAACAAATGTTGCAGTAATGTTGCTACAATACTTTGATACTATATGAGATTATATTAATATTTATTTAAATATTGTTTATTAAAATTCAGTTTATTAAAATTATCTTTTGTTGTTAGTAATATTGTGAATTGTTGCCAAATGTAGGATGATTATTGTTTAATCTTTAGATATGTCTTGTAACTTTCTGAACAGTTATTTAAATTTCTTTTTATTTTTTCAGGCACACAAAAGAGGTTTATTTATTTTTTATGACATCGAATCTTTTGAGAGAACACTCTTTCATTTAAGGTTGGTAAGTCATCATCTTGCTTTTTTATTTATTCGATCAATGTAAGTTCAATTACGTGCAGATGAAAAGAAATCATATTTTAACGGAAGTAATTATAATTATAAATGAATTTAAGAATTTTAATTTTGCGATAAAAAATTCCTTTTTTGGAATTCAAAAATATTAATTTAAGAGATTTATTTATACAATCTAATTTGCACGCTTCAGTTATTAGCGTCAATTTTTATAACGCTATTACATTTCTAAATTTTTAGTTTAAAGTTTGAGAAGCTGCAAAAAGAAAATAAAGTTCGATAAGTTAAATAATAATTATTGTGAATATTTATTATAAATTAAAATATTGTGTTAATTTGACATAATAATTCATTGCTATCGATTAATGATTATTTACTATATAATTATTCCTAATTAATATTCATCGTATAGTTACACGTATTATAGTTAACAATAAAATAATTACCGGTAAAAATATGATTGGACTCAACAATTGTATATAATTGATCTACTTGCATAAAATTAATACTGATATTTATGTTTGCACTTCATCTATATAGAAACGTTGTATGATGTATTGATTGCATAAATAGAATGTAGATAAGTTCCAAGAAAATTGCATAATGCGATTGGTATTTACGCTCCAATCGATGATCGTTAAATCGATGAGAATGATTGTTAGTAGATATACTTGTATACGAGTTAGTAGATATATACTTGTATACGAGTATTTTCTCAAAACTGCACATCGATTAATTGATTTATACCGATGTGAAATATCGAGTGCAAATCTTATGCACGAACTATGGAAAACTGATAGTTTTCATTAGCAAAATTAGTGAGTGCAAATAAACGTAGAATTAATAATTTTGAATATTTAGTAATGTAATGTCTAAAAAAACATACAAATGCAAAGAAACACATTGGAAAAAGAATTTGATTGCATTAATTGGAATTCATGTTGAAAATGGACAAATTAAAATTTTCTGGTTGAATTTTTATAATTTTATTATAATCTAGTTGAAATAATCAGAATTTTTGTTGATATAATGAGAATCTTCTAGTTCATTTTTTAATCAGAAAGTTTTCTCAGTGCAGAATTTAGCTAAAAGAATTGTTAACTAAAAGGCTTATTGCAATCAGCGTTAATTAAATATAAAATATATTGTATAGTATTGTGAAACAATAAGTATTTTTTAGATAAAAGATACATAATAAAAAATAAATAAGATAATATTTTTCACGTTTGTTGATATTATCAAAAATTTTGCATTCGAATTTTTTTATTACGAAATAAAATGAATGCAAAGACACTATTTTTGGACGAGGTAAATCGCCTTTTACTATTGTGACATAATTGTACGTAACCATGTTGTGTTTGTTGCGTTCATACTTGGAGTATAACTTGAGAACCGCTGGTTCATGCGAACCTCGCGTGCCGAATACGACAAAGCCTGCTGAGCGATCATATGTAAATATAAATCGGATGACATACCACTCTAGTTACTCGTCGAAATCGTAATATACAAAACTGTCTGTCGCGAAAGAGAATGTTGTACGAAGACGATTCGGAATCCGAATCTAATAATAAAACCATCTCTCTGAAATGGAACATGTCGTGGGATCCTAGATTATGGTTCAACTCCGTAGATCCCGATTTGGTAAATATTTTTGAAATTGATCATATTTTCTAAAACAGTGTTATAAATCGCGAAACACACCGAGCTGATAGTACATATTATAGTTCTATTTTGCGAGCGAGTCAAATTTTTTTCGTTTTTGTTGATAATTCCGGGTTGGAAAAGTGAAATAAAAATTTGATGAGAAAAACAACATTTCGCATATATCTTTCTCTATTGTCAGAAGTAAATAGGTCGAGCTTATTGGATCGTACATTTTTTATATATTGCTATTGTTATCATTCGAGATTTTCTCAATGTGTACTACTTCTTTAGATATAATAGTATAGCTATGGCGTTTTGCGTAAATAATATTGTAGCACAAGTAATATCTTTATATAATTATCTTAATTACATTTCTCTGAAACAAGTAGGATTCACAGATCTGCCTTTTTCCTTATTTAAAAATTGCTGTTCATGTTTTTTATCGTACTTTGTTATTAAAACAAAATTAATTAATAAGTTTTAATTAATGATTTACTCTTTCTTTCGTATAGAGATTGCAAAAGTTTGTTGCTGTTCTGTATCGATATAATTAATCAATCTTCTTTTTTCTTTTTTTTTCTTTAGTTGGATAATGAAATTTCGCTTCGTAAATAGTTGTTAGCAGCCGTTTACATCTTTCGTACCGTTATCTATCCTCGCCGTAAATATACATTTGTGATGCTACATTGTTCATTTGTTTAGTCTGGCACAGATGCTATTCAGCGATCTGCTGTCGTACTTATATTTGGCGCGCAATTCTTGAGTTCTCGATTACTCATTCTCTGCATTATGCGAATAACGGAATAAATAACATTTCGAAAACTTTGACCAACATTCAAACAAGATTTCTCTGATAAATAATGATCCTGCCAAATGTGATTTATAAAAATGTTTTGTGGGCAAAATACTGAAATAGTTATAGAGAAATCCAATTTATAATTAATGCAATATTTATACAATATTTTTTATGGAAAAATTTAATCGATATCTTTATCATAATTTATATTTTTATTATATTTAATACATACTAAATAATTTATAATTTTTGTTGAATTTATTAGATTGGATTAAAAAAAGCATTGAAAAAAATATTGTTTCACAGTTCAGGTTTTTATTGCATGTTCAAATTTTGATACGAGAATCATGATATTAAAAACATAATATACGTTACGTACACTGAGAGAAAAATTTCATATTTGTAATTATATAGTTCTAGCAACAAATGTATAGTTGGCAACCTAAAATGACTATAATTATAGTTATTATAATCATAAAATAGTTAAAATTACCTATAAAATTTTATAGTTATATTTTGGGGCAATCATATTTTTTATGGTTATAAAATATAACTAAATAAAATTATAATTACTTGAATCATTTTTATGGTAATTTCAATTATTTTATGATTATAATAACTATAATATATTTTAGTCATTTTAGGTATGTATGTAGGTTGCCAACTACATACATTTATTGCTATATACATAGTTACTGTTATTATTATTATAGTAGTAATAATCATAATTATAGTAATATGTAATGTATAGTTACAAATACAAATATTTCAAAACACATACAATTTCTATATTTATCAAATAAAATAATGAAACGAAGTTGCCATATTAAAATATGCGATAAAAATACGAGTATTCAAATCTCTATGTATTGGGTTGTCCGAAAAGTTCGTGCCGATTAACCTATATAATTTAATAAATGTATACTAAAATTTAAATCTTCTGTGTTTCAATTTTTTCCTTCAAAATCAGCACGAACTTTCCCGTCAACCCAATAAATATTATTATTAACATTCTCGTTATGAATCTACCATTAAATATGATTCTTATTTTGTTGATGTTAAATACAATTTTAAATGTTTAGTAAATTATTTTTTTAAAATAATATTCCAAGCAGAATGCTTCATGTGGAGATAATAAACTATTATATATGAAAATTTATTAATAAATCAAGATGTATAGATATCTTTTAAAAAACGCATCCGGATGTTTATTATAATAGAGATAAAGAAGGGCAATGTC